AAATCCAACAAAGTGAACAAGATCCTCATTCTAGGATCTAGGATCCCTACTCGTCCGACCACCTTGGTCTGGACAACTAGGGTCATCAGCCAGCTTGGCCTTGGGTAAGCGAAGGAGTCACAAAGGAAGCACAACAGTAACTGACCAGCTTGGCCCTGCATAAGTGTAGGTGTCATGAAAGAAGCTTAAAAGCTGCCAGCCAGCTTGGCCCTGGTAAGTGGAGGCATTGCAAAGGAAGCATAAGAGCAGCTGGCCTGCTTGGCTCTGGATAAGTGGAGATATCGTGAAAGAAGCTGAAGAGGTGCCAGCCACCTTGGCCCTGGATAAGTGTAGGTGTCATGAGAGAAGCTGAAGAGCTGCTGGCCAGCTTGGCCCTGGGTAAGTGGAAGTGTTGCGAATGAAGTCAAAGAGCAGTCGGCCAGCTTGGCCCTGGGTAAGTGGAAGTGTTGCGAATGAAGCCCAAGAGCAGTCGGCCAGCTTGGCCCTGTGTAAGTAGAAGTGTTGCAAATTAAATCCCAAGAGCAGCCGGCCAACTTGATCCTGGGTAAGTGCAGGTGTTCCAAATGTAGCTGAAGAGCTACAGGCCAGCTTGGCCTGGGTGAGAGGGAGTCTGGCCCGGAAGCTAACCACTTCAGCTTTTACGCATGTACAAAACTAAAAGAAAAAAACATGTTGGCCACATGTTAACATATGGTGCTGTGTAATGTATTTTGAAACAGACACTAGTCTTCGATGAAAGCCTATATGATAGGGTGACAACACAGGAGCACAAGGAGGGACAGAAACAGAGTGTTGTCACCCTATAACAAAAGGTGCCTGAATAAGGACATTTGTAGCAGGATCACTAGGTATTGTTTAAATGAAAGCTGCAGGTTTCCAAATATTGAACATACTGAAAAATTGAAAGAACATTAATTAACGTGTTAAAGAAGATGTATCAAAAATTCCTAAAATCTCACATGCACTTTAACAATTAAATCTTGAACATTCCATTCTGGCTTCCTACACATTGCCTGTATGCTGTCTTCCTACACCATATCTTGCTCACAATTCAAGTAAACAGTATATTTCTAAGGAGACCTTACGACCTTACTCCCATTACGCAGCTCTTCATCACGGTGAAAATGAGGCAAGAGAACCAAAAGGTTGTAATGAATGAAAGGCGGCACCAACTGGTTTCTGCATAAGCCTACACTTCGTTCTCGGAACTGGCCCCGCTAAAACTTTTCTGTCAACATTCTGAAAATGTCAAACTGCATCTTCCCGCCCTTTATAGGCTCTGCACCGTGCGCTCATGTTTACAATTTCCACTAACCAGGTCAAAAATTAAAGAGTTGTAAGAGTCATGTAAGACACCACAGAAAACGTAATTAACAAAACCTTCACACCACGCCCCACACAATTTTTTTTCTCTTTTTTACAATCTTTTTCCAGAATAACTGAGACAGCAAAAAGAAAAAGGTTTAAAACAGTCTGAGTCAGACATACAGTACAAAGAAGTTAAAAATAAAATTTTAAGAGTCTGTAAAAGAAAAGTGAGTGGGTGCCGAAAGAAAACGTCAGCCAAGGCAGATTTTCTTCTAATTAGAAAAAAAAAGGAGATTCATGATATATTGTATCTTGTCTCTAAATATCACCCAAACCGTACTCTCCGCTCCTCTCAAGACCTCCTGCTCTCTAGCTCCCTTGTCTCCTCCTCCCATGCTCGTTTCCAGGACTTTTCCAGAGCTTTCCCCATCCTCTGGAACTCTCTACCCCAATTTATCAGACTATCGCCTACTCTGCTCACTTTTAGGCGATCTCTGAAAACCTCTCTCTTCAGGAAAGCCTATCCTGCCCTCAGCTAATAATGGAATCGTCTACTCTTCCAACCAGTCCATCCCCCACAGTTACTACCTTTTGTACCACTAGCCCCTCCCTCCTAGATTGTAAGCTCCAAGGATCAGGGCCCTCTTTTCCCGCTTGTATTGAACTGTATTGTCTCCCGTTATATTGTAAAGCGCTGAGCAAACTGTTGGCACTATATAAATCCTGTATATAATAATAATAATATATTGGCAAGCTGGATTATGCTAGCAGACCTACTGGTGGGCCTTAATGGTCGACTCCCACTAAAACCAGTATTTCAGGTTTTTAGTTGGTACCTGTGGGCTGCGCCAGCCCAATATTTGCAAATATCTGTTTATGGGTGAGTGTGCCTGGAAGTGGAATTTTAGTTATAGGTAAACCCTGGTAGGCTGACTTTGCCTCTGGTTTCTCTATGTCTTAGACAGTTTAAAGCTGGCCAATACCAGTAAAGGTTTGCTCAACCTTTCATACCAAAATTCCAAAAAATTGTCAGAGCATCCAACAGTATCAATTATGGACTCAATAAATTTTGGATGAAAACCCTCAAAGATTAAGTTCGATTGCCACGCCAATGTTTCGAATTCAACGTTTAATCTTGGAATGCACAATACAATAAGTACGATTTTGTTTCCCAAAGGAAAACCATATTCAAAGTTAGAATTTCATTCAAAGAAAATTTGCTATCTTCCTTTGATTTTCCTCTTCACTATGGTAGAACAAAATAGTTCATTTTCCTCTCCACTATGACCCAACTAGACAATTAGAAAACTGAACGAATGTTAGGAAAACAAAGTTTTTCAAAGGAAATTCTACTGGTGAATGGGCAGCAGAACAGTGAGACCTCCTGTCCATAACTCACTTTTTTTTTTCCTTCTCAACTAGAAGTTTTGGTTGTTCCCACACTTCTTTGTGTGTTCCAGCTTCTCTCCATAATATCAAATAAATAAAAATCCAGCAAGTCCGTGGACCTACTTATGAAAATGAAAGAGGAGGCTAAAGCTAGCTATACATGGGTCATTTTTTTTCATCAACTATCGAGTTCAATATAAAGAAACGGACCCAATTTCCTCATTCACAAACTCCATGTGGAGGTGCGAATCCTCCCTGCTGTGTCATTGCATTATGACAGCTGGGAGACTCATTGGATAGCTACTTCATGGTGGCATAGAACAAAGAAATGGAAGCTAATGGTGGGGGGAGCTCTCAGTGAGAAACAGAACGGTTTGAAATTCCAGTACCTGAAACATCAATGCAAAACATTGTAAAAATATTCAGACAGAGATGAAGAAAGCACCAGGGAGGGGGGAGAATGCCAAAGGGCCAGAGAGGGGGAGAAGGAGAGAGAGCGTCAGAGAGGGGGAGAAGGAGAGAGAGCGTCAGAGAGAGGGAGAAGGAGAGAGAGAGTCAGAGAAGGGGGAGAAAGAGAGAGAGCGTCAGAGAGGGGGAGAAGGAGAGAGAGCGTCAGAGAAGGGGGAGAAGGAGAGAGAGCGTCAGAGAAGGGGGAGAAGGAGAGAGAGCACCAGAGAGGGGGGAGAAGGAGAGAGAGCACCAGAGAGGGGGGAGAAGGAGAGAGAGCACCAGAGAGGGAGAAGGAGAGAGAGCATCAGAGAGAGGGGGGAGAAGGAGAGAGAGCGTCAGAGAGAGGGAGAAGGAGAGAGAGCGTCAGAGAGAGAGGGAGAAGGAGAGAGAGCGTCAGAGAGAGGGAGAAGGAGAGAGAGCGTCAGAGAGAGGGAGAAGGAGAGAGAGCGTCAGAGAGAGGGAGAAGGAGAGAGAGCGTCAGAGAGAGGGAGAAGGAGAGAGAGCGTCAGAGAAGGGGGAGAAGGAAAGAGAGCGTCAGAGAAGGGGGAGAAGGAAAGAGAGCGTCAGAGAAGGGGGAAAAGGAAAGAGAGCATCGGAGAAGGAGAGAGAGCGTCAGAGAGGGGGGAGGAGAGAGAGCGTCAGAGAGGGGGAGATGGAGAGAGAGCGTCAGAGGGGGAGAAGGAGAGAGAGCGTCAGAGAGAGGGAGAAGGAGAGAGAGGAAGGAGAGAGAGGGAGAGAGAGAGCGTCAGAGAGAGGGAGAAGGAGAGAGAGCGTCAGAGAGAGGGAGAAGGAGAGAGAGCGTCAGAGAGAGGGAGAAGGAGAGAGAGCGTCAGAGAGAGGGAGAAGGAGAGAGAGCGTCAGAGAGAGGGAGAAGGAGAGAGAGCGTCAGAGAAGGGGGGAAGGAAAGAGAGCGTCAGAGAAGGGGGAAAAAGAGAGAGCGTCAGAGAAGGGGGGAGAAAGAGAGAGAGCGTCAGAGAAGGGGGAGAAAGAGAGAGAGCGTCAGAAAAGGGGGAGAAAGAGAGAGAGCGTCAGAAAAGGGGGAGAAAGAGAGAGTGCCAGAGAGAAGAAGGAAAGAACATGAGAGGGGGAAAAGGGGCGAGCGCAAGAGAGGGGGAGAAGGGGAGAGAGCGCCAGAGAGGGGGAGAAGGGGGAGAGAGCGCCAGAGAGGGGAGAAGGGGAGAG